GTGCTATGGTCCATGGGGTCACGAAGAGTTGGACACGACTTAACGACTGAACAACAAGAACAATACTTTTTAGCTCCAATGATGCAGACTGGAAAATATTCTAATCCTTAATTTTCCTACAGAAAATTTATTCTAAAAACATTGTTCCATAAAATTTGTTAGTAACAACGAATGGAAGTCAATGCATCTTAGGCAAGCTTGGCAATTTCAATGCTGCAATTACAGTTTTCCATGTGATTATCACCAGGGAGTGTTAGAGATAATGCATTCATGTTTTACCGGTCTGGAAACAGAAGGTTAAAATAGAATTCTAAATACACCTAATAATCCAAGCCAATGTCAAGTTACATATTCTAGGCTATGCAGATCAAATCAAAACAAAAACTGCTTGATCATGGTATCTCCCCTGCCAGGTAAGTATTTGGGGTAAATTTGTGGAATTTGTGTTAGTGAAAGGAAGGGGAAAAGCCTCTAAAGAATATTCAATACAATTTTGGAGAGGTAGTCCATAATAAAATATTATTAAATGGAGCCCCATGGGTATGGGGTACATGTTAGAATTTAGTATATAATAAGCACTATTATTTGTAATTTTTTTCTGTATTTTTGTTGTTACATATGTGTGGTTTTTTTTTAATTTTATATTTTTTAAAAAAAACTGCTAATTGGAATTAAATTTTCACAGAACAGAGTCTCCCTTGTTTTCTTGGGCTTGGCAAATTGAAGGTATGTTTGTATAGATCTGTTTGGTCTTTTTGTTACTTTGAAGTTGTCAAAGTAGTGCACAAATAGAAAACAAAGAAACATAGTGTGTGCTATATTGCTTTTCTTAACCAAATATTTCAGTACAATTATTTACAGATTATTGGGACAACAAACATTAAGTCAAGTAAATACAGTAAATATAATCACCCTCAAATTCAAAAACTGGAAATTTTCTAATTTAAAATGTTCCAGAACACTCACACACTATCTAGGAAACATATTAAATACATGTCACAACCTGGTGAATCATGACATATCTTTAATATGTAATATTTGTATGAACACAGTGGAGAAACAGGCTATTTACAATACTCTCCACTTTACCAGATCAAAATATCTAGCATTTCAGACCACTATTAAAATCACAAAACATAAAAACCAAAACTTTTTTCTTTCCTCTCGTTACTGAACATATAAAACACACTATGCTATTGCTAGCCTATTTCCTAACCTAAACATATGATTTTCTGTCAGGGGAAGTTGAGGTACTTGGTATTTTAAAAGGAAGGCTTCCAGTCACTTGAGCTGATGAGACTGAATTAATTTAAAATTCCTAACCTTAGTAAAAATGACAGTAACAAGCCATGGCAACATGAGAAAACGCACCTCTTCCCTATTACTTTTTCCTCCGCTTCCTCCAAAGGACACACATATGACTAATCTACCCATCATGGGTCACAGTGCTGATGCCATTCTTCACTATTTGCAGTCCTGTTCTGGTGACAGATAATTTCATTTTCCAATTATATTGGCAATTTTTCACTAGCAGCTCATAGTGGCCCACAGCTTTTCAACTGGCATCTCAATACAATAAAGCAAAAGAAATAATGATTTTGTGAATAAAATTACATTTAGCATGGATTGAAAAAGCCACAGTAACCCATGGTTCCCATATTAAGCAGAATGTGAATGCCAAGTTTCAAACTGATTTGCAAACATTGATTGGCAGCAGCTGGGAGGAGAAGAGTTTGGGAATCTACACTGAAGAGAGGTTGATCCTATTGTCCACTACCCAGGAGCATTACATTTGCACCCATCCCTAATGAATGACCCACCACTGCTCTACTCTTCCAAAGCTCCAAACCCCAAGAAGCAGCCAAGGCCAATTATGTCAAAAAAGAGAGAGAGAAAAGCAGACAAGAAAAAGAACACCACCATGGGAACATTTAACAGATACTACACATCAGCTAAGACAATCAGTTTTGATGGTGATCTAGACTTGCTGAAAGCTGGAATATATATGTCTGAAAACATTAAACACTTGAGTAGCCTGGGAGACTTCAACATAATGTTTCCCTCTTCTTGCCTTTACAATAACTATATCCTAGATTCTCCATTTGGAATATATATGCCTGAAAACATTAAGCACTTGAGTACCCTGGAGACTTGAACATAATGTTTCCCTCTTCTTGCTTTTACAATAACTATATCCTAGATTCTCCAACTGATACAACTGCTACTAATCCTCCATTCAACATGGAAATCTACCTTTTCCTGCTGCTAAAATACCAGTCAAAAGGTAACCACTTCTCAAGACAGAGCTGCATCCAAAGCAAGCCCTTCCTTGTAGAAGATACTATTCAATGTGTTCCTGTAAAATACTACAGGTCTCTGTTTACAGACATTTTTTCTTACAACTAATTTATTTATCAGACACAAGAGGGAGATATAAAATGAATAATCTGATTAGTTGGATTGCTTCCTTTACAATTTGCATATTTTGCCTTTAGCATCCTTATTACACTTGTTAGAAGTTCTTCCCATAAACAGCCTTGTCCATTTTCTAATCTCTGGGTTTAAGACAATTTAAATTAAGTGTCTATGGAATTGTGGCTTAATGAATCATGAGTTTTACAGTAATATTAATTTTCATAGTTGCAGTTTTACAAGAAGTAGCCACGTCAGTCTCTGCTAGTGTATTAGGCCAAAACAAAGAAAAAAAAAAAAAAAGAAAAATACCGTTTCCCCGAAAATAAGACCTAACCTGAAAATAAGCCCCATTATGATTTTTCAGGATGCTCATAAAATAAGCCCTACCCCAAAAATAAGCCCTAGGTAAGTGAAACCCCACCCCCCACCATTGTGCAGCATTGTGTAGTAACCAGAAGATGACATTACTATAAAAAAATCGTCCCCTGAAAATAAGCCCTAATGAGTTTATTGGAGCAAAAATTAATATAAGACCCTGTCTTATTTTTGGGGAAACACAGTAATAAATAAAAAAGGCAAAAACATGGTAGCACCTTAAAAACTAATCACTACATTTTAAAGTGAGCTTTTGTGGACAAGTCTAGATATGAGGAAGTGGACTTGTCCACAAAAGCTCACATTAAAATATATAATTTGGCTTATACTACACAACAGGATTTCCAACACTGTATGCTTACAAGATATCCTAGGGGCAAGATGTAACACAAAACAGGAGGAAGAATGTGAGGAAAAGGGAAGACAAAATCAATGAATGACTACAACAATATAATCAACATACTGCCATACTTCTTCACCCAATCAATATATCTATTCAATCCTGTCCATCGAAGGAGAGACAATGGTTCTCATCTCATCTCTTTTCTCTTTTACATTTATTAAACCAAATAGCATATGGCAACAACACTACAACTTTGTTAAGAATTATGTGCAGCACTGGACAAAACTATACAGTTTCACACTTCTTGTGAATTAAAATTCCTTTTTTACTTTTGGTAACACTCATAGTTACCTTATGTAATATATGGGAAAATAATCTGCAATATAAATAGTAGATCAGCCCTTCCTGTTCCCAAGATTGCTCTGTTCTTCTTCTGAATCTTGAAATGGACTTAAAGCAATAATTCGCTTCACCATGTTTAGCTGCAGAATGTGTATTTCACTAGGCTCAGCTTTTGACATTTCTCCCTGCAGTTTTCCCCCCTCAGTTGGGAATGCCAATGCTACCTTTATAATTTATGGCAAAATATTTATCTTTTTCGTTGTTTAATTGTTAAGTCGTGTCAGACTCTTCGTGACCCCATGGACCAGAGCACGCCAGGCCCTGATATGTATTTTCAGATATGTATCTTTAGACACAATCCCACCTACTAAGAGTCTTCATCAGAAAACTGAGCAGAGATCATTGTCTTGGTACTAGTCTTCCAAGTTCTCCCTCTGTAAATATCACAGCCTTTCCCTTTGACTATTTTAAAAAATCAAGACTCTGTATTTTATTTGAACTCCATTTTTCCATCAAAAAGACAGTGCAAAGGGACCAGAATAAATAATTCGGACCATATGTACTTTCCTCAAAGCAAAACTGAGCCTGAACCATTATTTGAAAGTTTCTCTTTAACATGAACTCAGACAAAATGTTAAAAAACAAAAGTAGGTTAGCGCAGCAGAAGAAGATTTTGTTTGAAAAATAATAATCTGGTCACAGGCACTGGAGCCAACCAAAATTAATCGTAATCACTCAGAAGCAGTAGCTAGTTAAAACTGTTCTATTTTGTGCAGGATGCATCCTGCTGTAGCAGACTGTGAAAACAGTGTGGAGGAGAAAGGAAGAGAGGATCACAATCCTGAGTATCTCTAGCATATATCTTTATTATCAATTTAATTTCCAGGATTCTTTGAAGACATAGGCTGTATCTGTAGTAGTCAGGCAGGTATGGACAAATACAATGTCGCAATTTTTAAATGTGTTAACTCAGAGGTTGTAGTTCTAAAAACCTAAGAGGAAGTGCAGATATTATCTAATTTTAACTCTGCGTTTCCCCTCTTTATATTATAGCTTTCAATATCAACTGCTGCATTGGCTTCCAGTTTGTTTCCAGGATGTTTTTTTTAATTTTAACATCCTAAGTGTTTTGAGATCAGGGTATCTAACAGTGGGGTGAGAGCCATGTGGCTTGTGGAGCAGTCCATGTATCACACGCAGCTCACCATAGCCTTCTGTAGAACCCTTGCTTTTTAAAAAACCACAAATAGAGAACTGCACCTCCAGAAGGCATTATGACTTTTAAAAGCAAGGCCTGAGCCCCATGACAACTTGACTGGACTCCCACCTGAACCATACTTGTAGGAAATCAGTGTGACAACAAGTTCACTTACAGTCACATATGATGGGGCGAGTATTTTACTCTCCCTGTTCTCCCTCTTGTGTGCAGGTGTAGCTCCTCCCAAAGCCAAGGCAGTGACTCTCTCTTACTCTGAATACTAACTTCTTAGCTACTTTCCTTGCACCACATGCTTGGAGCATAGTACATTGCTGAAATCTTGCAAAGAGCCATAAACACTGAAACAAACCTCCTAGCAGCTCAGTCAATCAGGTTCAAGCCAAACAGACACAGCCTTGCTCTCTTCTGTCTCTTCCACCAATCCCACACAAAATACTCTGTTTTCTCCCTCTATTCAAAAGCAGCTTCCAGGGACTTTTGAGTGCAGCTACTAGCTCTATTTTGACAGGTCTACTTTAACCACATCTACACCTGAATTTAATTCAATGGCTTGACTCCATAGATGCAAGTCCTTCGCCCCAACTATAAAATTGCACATTGTTCTGTAGTCAACATCAAACCAGACAGCAATAAGAAAGTACCTAAAGCATTACCATTAAATGTTTAAAAGCCATTTATTAATAATTAAACACAGAGAGAGCCCTAATACGTCTCAAATAACCTAACTTCCCTTTTCTTTCCTTCAAAAAGACCAAAAGATAAATTATCTGTATTGTGAGAATTTTTAGATGGCTATGGCTGTCAAAAAAAGGCGTGTGAAAAAACTATTCACTAACATCTCCTGTTTAGTACTAAGCTTTAATATAATTTTAAAAAAAGCTAATCCAAGAAAATGGAGGTGGAATTTAGCTAAAACTACAAAAGAAACCTTAATGAAGTCTTGCTCAATCTGATGTTCTCTAGATATATCAGACTATAAGCCCTTTCAACAAGACCTAGTCCAATGCTACTGGAGGGCATCAGCCTAGGGACAATAACAGATCAGTACTAATTTATATGGATGTTCTTGGTTCTCCTAGGATAACCTTAGAGTATCTTTCTCACAGTCTAGACCTATGAAAAACAGAAAATCATGGTAATTTTAAAATATTATATAATAGAACAAACTGCAGACATTAATAGCAGTGCTTCTAGATGAAGTTCTGTCTCACTGTTTATAAAACTAACAGATTTTTTTTATTTATATCCCGCCTATTTAGTCGATTAAGGCCACTCTAGGCGGCTTACAACAAGGGGTACAACAATGAATAAAAACAGTTTTACATAGAAAACTTTCAACAGTTAGGTTAAACACGAGGAAAGAAAAGAGAGGGGAATCAGGAATTAACTAGGGGGGAAGGCCTGCCGAAACATCAATGTTTTTAGTTGCTTTTTGAAAATACCCAGCAAGGGGGCCGCGCGAATATCAGGGGGTAAGTTGTTCCAGAGGCGAGGAGCCACCGCCGAGAAGGCCCGATTTCTTGTCTTTTCCTTCCGGGCCTCCCTCGGCATTAGGCTCCTGTATTTACTGTATCTTTGAAATTAAAAATCATTGTCAATCCCACCACATTTTAAGCTGAAGGTTTACTTCAGCATCTGAGTAATGGTGCCTAGAAATACTTTGCCACCACAAAAGCCAGAAAATAAGTGCATGGGTCTTCAATCAATTCAACCATTTAAGGGAACTCTAAAAACAACTCAATCCTTACAAATCACCAGACTTTTCTAGTTTCACAAATTAGCCAGAATCTTCAAAATGGCAGCTATTCATGAAGAGGCCAGACAATCCCACCTGCATCATGGGAAGCCAGTGCTCTCAGCATTTTGCCAGCGCTGCGTCGGATTTGTTTCTCTTCATTACACAACATCTTCATCAGCAGATCCAGCGCTCCTGTCTCCTTGAAGACACCTGTCAAGGAACCAATACTGGCATAGGCACTGAGCACATGGATTGTGTTAAGGATAGATGACTCAGGGCCTGTGGTCCTAGCCATTTGCCGTGCAGCCCGCTGAACCAGGTTCCTGACATCAGCCTTCATTTCGCGCAATGAAGCTTCATCCACTGTAACATCAGATGGAAATGTATTGCTAGGCGCTTTCTCCTCCTTCACTCGCTGCCCCTCGGGTTTCCTCTTACCCAGCAACGTGGGGCAGTTAGCATAAACCTCCTCTGCTGACATCCACATCAAAATATTCTCTGTTTTACTTTCAACGGAAGCAGCATTGGTGCTGTTCCCTATAGTATCATCCAAGCTAAGGATGTTCCAGCGAATCAGATATTCTGTGTGTCCATCATGGCCTCGACGCTGTCGGATCAGCTCCTCAGGATAGGCCTGCAGCTTGGGTCCAAGATGCACCAGCAGATTTCCATTCCGCCTCTCACCCACCATGATGGAAATGGTATCTATGAACAAAGAGCAGAAAGAGATTAGATTGCCAGGAAATAAACTAGAAAACACACATATTTAGCATTTTCTTCATGTATTCAGTCACTGCTGTTTCAAGGGAACAAGCTACTCTTGTACAAAATGCTTATCCTCCCAGCACCTAAGGGAACTCCTTCTGATTAAGCAGAAAATCCTTGGCAGACAAACTTCACAAGGCTGCAGGCTTCCCTTTTAAAAGCAGCTGGTATTTAGTAACATTTTGCTCCAAGCAATTTGGTTCATGACACTTCCTGATGTGAACAGCCTGTTTTCAAAGCACAGTTCTCCATCAATTACAGAGCCCCAGGTCATTTTTTTATTTGTAGTTTTTTTCTGTACAACCCCATGGTGCATTCACTGGGCAAGACAAATTTTTGCATCTGGAGATCTCTAAAACAACCTAATTTTATGAAAGCATCTTCAGACAGAAATCCTAATAAAATCAATATATACTTTCTCCTAGGTGTGAATCATCAGTCAAGTCCTTCCTCCACCCCATTTAAATTTATTTTATTTTCAGTTGTTACAATTTGAAGCTTAGACAACTGCAGTAAAATTAGGAAATATTCCTTTTCAAGTATCTATTCATATGTAAATTTTAGTTACATACCCTGTTCCCCCTAAAATAAGACCTAACCTGAAAATAAGTCATAGTATGATTTTTCAGGAAGCTGGTAATATAAGTCCTACTCCAAAAATAAGTCCTAGTTAAGTGAAACCCTGCCCTCCACCATTGTGCAGCAACCAGAAGATGACATGACTGCATTTGAATAAATGTAGATGGTTGTACATGACAAAAATAAAACATACCCTGGGATAATAATAATAATAATAATAATAATAATAATAATAATAATTTATTGTCATTGTAAGTATATACACATACAACGAAATTCACAAAAATTTCGAAAATAAACCCTAATGCATTTTTTGGGGGCAAAAATGAATATAAGACCCTGTCTTAATTATGGGGAAACAGGGTAACAGTTCATAAAACACCTTGAGACAGATCAAGTGTAATCACCCAAATTACCTCTTATTCCACACAAAACATGTTTTTAGTTGCCAGATCAGTCAGGTCCATTTGATGATGCTTAGAATTAGAAGAATACTTGGGCTTCATTTATAAACTAATATGGTTGCATGTAGCACTTACTTTCTAAAAGTATCCAAATTTTAGTACATAACTGAATATATCTGAAAGATTAGTCATCAAGCAAAAACAAAAGAAAAAATAAACCACCAAAAATGTTGTGGCACCTTAAAGACTGTAATATTTTAATGTGAGCTTTCATGGATAAAATCCACTTTCTCAGACATAAGAGATATGTAGCAATTTTTGATACATGGCATCAAAATACAGAGACAGTGGTTAGTTAGTAATCAGTGTGGTATTTCATAGCAAGTGATGCCTTCTATTTGATATTCAGATCTTTTCCATTGACGATTTGTACTAAAAAGGAGACTGGCATGTTACAGCTGATAATGACTTTTAAGACCCCTGTTTGAAACTCATTTTCTTTCTAGGTAGTTTTGTAAGCAGCTACAATGGTGAGTGAACTACCCAAGGCAATAGATGAAAGCAGAAACAACATGGCAATGAGCTCATTTATTTATTTATTTATTTATTCATTCATTCATTCATTCATTCATTCATTCATTCAACTTATATGCCACCCACTCTACTCAAAGGTCTCTGGGCGGCTCACAATTAAAAAACAATTAAAATACAATAAAAGATAAAACGATTAAAACACAATTAAAATTCAATCTAAAAATTGTCAAGTTAAGACTTTCTGGTTATCTTTGAATCTTTTAAAGTGGACTTGGTAAGGAGGGAAATATGGGAGATACAGGAAGTACAGTACAATTATTGCAGTGTTTTATGTTTAGTAGTGCCATAAGATGCCTTAGCTAATATTGAGTCCATTGAGATGGATGTCCAGCATGTGTACATATTTTGTTTCAGTTGTCTCTCTTTGGATTCTTGTCCTGTATTTTCATCTTTCAAATTTGGAAAAAAAGACTGATTTTTTTTTCCAGAATGGAAAAAATATTGCTCAACATTTATTAGTTGCAGCATAATGCAAGTTGGATGGTAATGGGGTTGCAGTCAAACACATCTGGAAAATACTGGGTTGGGAGGACTGATTCAGAAGAGGGAGGAAACCATATTTGCATTGACAGTTTTAAGCAGCTGTTCCTGTTTTCCAGGGAACCAGAGAACTGGGCTGAATATTTACAATAAGTTCTGCACCAACTACTACTCCAGGGACTCTTAGCAGGAACAATTAAATTGATGAATCAATTGCAGGAACAATTAAACTAGGATAGATTTGTAGCACAGCTGTCCCATATGGACAGAACACTTTCATTTATTTTTTCCCAAGGTCTAGAAGCATGCATCACTACCATAAGCAGGCCAAGAAAAAGGCTTACGTTTTTCTATAAACACATAAAGTAATTTTTAACTTTGCATTGACCTGCTACCTATTGAGAGATGAAGACAGTGTAATGCTGATTGCATACCTTCTATGTTGCCTTCCCTTCCAGTAAACTATCTTTTCCATGTTGTCAAGTGTTCTGCATAGCCAAGTGCTCACAAGTCATTTCACAATGGAAGAAAGTCAGACTTAACAGAGAACAAAAGGAAATCAAAAGATCTGCCTCTGATTAACTATCAGACATGTTAGTAACAGAGAAAGAAATCAATTAGCTTAAAATACAGAGGAATGTACCATCTTTTTACTCTCAAAGAGGGAAAGCCACATTCAGCTATTAAGATTTTGAATCAACTTTCTACAGCCACCCTGCTTTTTCCATTCAAAGGAGGTATTACATTAGATGGTAAATTTAGCATAAGAAAGACTACACAATAGCTGCTTACTTAGGTGCAATATTTTATTATTTTATACTTTGGCAAACCATTTAATCTTAGAACTGCAGAGCTGGAAGGGACCCTATAGATCATTGGGCACAGCCCCTGTCAAGAAGGCATGGTGGGGTATTGAACTCCCAACCTTTGGCTCCACAGCCAGAGACCTAAACCACTGAGCTATCCAGTACTTCTAAAGAAGGTATTCTGTCATGCCATTAATTGTGCCACAAAGGGAAGGGAGAAGGATGAATTATCATTTTGACATTTATTTATTTATTTATTTATTTATTTATTTGTTTGTTTGTTTGTTTATTTGTTTATTTGTTTATTTGTTTATTCGTTTCCTGGCTTTTACCCCACCCATCTAGATTCAACAAATCTACTCTGGGCGGCTTACAGTCTGAATATAAAACAATTTAAAAAAAAAAAAAAAATATAAAATATCATAGATATAGGCAAAGTCCAAGATGGTAAGAAATAGAGAACTAAGAATTGGAATGGGGGAAGGCCTGCCTGAAGAACCAAGTCTTCATCTCATTCTTAAAAACTCCCAGCAAGGATGCCAGGCGAATCTCAAGGGGCAAGATATTCCAAAGGTGAGAAGCAGACACCATGAAAGTAGATCGTGCTGGGAAGGAATGAAGTGCTGGAATTTCAACAGTTAGTATCTAACTGTAACTAGGTTTTGATGCTAACAACACAAAACAAATAAATAAACTGGGTAGTTCACACTATTCATACTTCCAAAAATAAAAGCAAATTACTGGCGTGCACACAGTGGTGCATACGGCATCTTCAAGGGCCACACACATTATGACCATATTTGGTTGAAGACACGGGAAAAAAACAGCAATGGGAATTGTGGCAAAAGCATCAAGGTGGCCCTTTTTAAGGCAGCCATTCAATATCATCTATTTCTCTCATCCAGCTCAGGCCTGGTCATGAGTGAAAGCTTCACATCAGGGAGGCAAGGAAACAGTATCTATATATTTTTTAAAAAAACAACAACTGAGGAACAGAGAGGCCAGAGAAAAAGGAGTTTTGTGGCTTTCTACAATAAGCTAGGGGTTCTAGAGTAGAGGAGCTATGTGAAAGGAAGTCCCTTTTTTTACTTCTAACAGAGGCTAGGGAGATGGTCTTTTCTCACACTATGGAAAATAGAAAAGTATACAGTGGTGCCTCGCTAGACAATGATAATCCGTTCCACTGAAATCGCTGTTTAGCAAAATCATTGTCTAGCGAAAAGCATTTCCCCATTGGAATGCATTGAAACCTGTTTAATGCGTTCCAATGGGGAAGAATCGTCGTTGTCTAGCAAAGATCAGCCATAGGAAAGCTGCTTTGCAAATCGCCAATCAGCTGTTTAAATAGATGTCTTGCAAAGCTTAGGTCCTGAAAACACCCGTTTTGCGAGCACGGAGGGAGCTGTCAAAATCGTTGTCTAGCGACGCAAAAAGACCAAACATTATCCAGCAAAATTCCCTCATAGGAATCACTCTTTTGAGAATCGCTATAGCGATCGCAAAAAGTCAATGTCTGGCGAAAAAATTGTCATGCGGGGTAACTGTCTAGCGTGGCACCACTGTATTTGGATCAAGTACTATGAGTTGATCAAAAGGAAAGATAAACAAACCACACAATTATCCCAAAAAGTTGTTTCAGAACCACTCAAAGCAATTACAAAGCTGTGGGTTAAAAATGTATTTCAGTTCAGAAATTCAAGATTGTTCTCAAGAACACAAAAGGTTTTTGTTCTTTGTTGTTTATCTGAAATGTAATTTAAAATTAGATGGAAAAGGCAGTCATTGCACGATTACAGGAGCAGTGCAGAATAGACAGGGATTCCTTAATGGCTAAATTCTCCAGCGTCACACCAGTAAAGAAGCAAACTGATACCCAGATCATATATTTCATTCTGGTTGCCCATGACTGCCTCTACAACAAACTTCAATAGAAAAACATCACTCTCACACATTGATTCATTCAGTGGATCTGAATTCAACTGTCTTAGGTGCACAAAGCAGAAGAAATACAATATGTCCATCTCCATATTCTAAGGACTAGACAATGGATTTCAAATGGGTATATTTCTTAATCTCT